ATCCCTTTTCTTTGCTTGAATATAATTTCACGGTGTTTCCTGCAAAATCTGAGAGTATTTCTGGATGCCACATGACTAGGTGGTTGCCATGGGAACTATCTTAGAGCTTTAATGAATAGAGTGGAGGTTTTTTTAAAATTCAAGATAAATGTCAGCGGATAAAATAGATTGGTGCTGGCACAGAACCGCCTGTTGGGCAGTGATACTGCACCCCCCCCCCCCACATGGCCAGGCTCAGGAGCCGCTGCGGCCCACGCGGCTCGGCTGTGCACGTCCCTTCTGTCTGCGCGCCCAGCCTGCTCCCCCGCCCACCCCGGCTTTATCTGCTCTGCGAGGCTCAGAAGCCCCAGCCAGGAGGGGCAGGGCGCCCCCCAGGGGCAAGGGCTGGACCCCGCTGCAGGGGAGCAGGCTGTGGTGGGCGCCTGCCCCAAGCGCCCCCGGGCTATGCGCCCCATGGGCCCCTGCTTGTCCGTTGCCCATGTCCCACCTAAAAGTGTGCGAGGACCCTGAGGCATTCCCCTCTGGCTCTCCATTTTGCCCCCACAACAACCTTGTGAGGTAGGCTAGGATGAGAGCCAGCGGCTGGCCCAGGCTGCCCAGTGCCCCGTGGCTGAGGGCAGATGGGGACCCAGGACTCCCCATGCACTAGCAGGCAGCCCCATTGGCACCTGGCTGGGGCAAAAGAAGGCATCGAACGTGGGAAGAGCTGCCCGCACAAGCCTCGGAGCGGTGCAGGTGCCGGGGGGAAGGTCAGTGCCACGCTCTGTTCCCCTGGGCATGTCCGAGGCACCCCCCACAGCTCTCCCCCCTCAGCCTGGCTTGCTCCTCCCCCACCTCTGCTCCCTCCGCTTGTTCCTGGTCCATCCGGAGGCTCCGACTCCGAGCGCTTCATGCATCCCATGGCAGGTGGAAGGCGAAGGTGCCAAGCAGCAGGAGGGTGCACGGGGTCACACGCCTCCTTTTCCCTCCTGCCACAATGATCAGGCAGCATGAGCAAAGCTACCTCCATGCCAACACCTGGCCTGAACCCCGCCGAAATGGCCCTGGGGAATCGGGCCCCACCAAGAGGGCTGGAGCCAGTTGGCTGCCACCTGCCCAGGAACCTTGCCCAAGAAAGGCAGTGCTTGCCCTGGCCTGAAACGGCTGAGCCCTCCCGGCCCGGAGATGCCTGCCTCAGGTGGCACGGGGCCACCGTCTCGCAAAGAGGCCTGGCTGGAAAGCCTGCCGGCTGGCACCCCAGAAAGAGGCCCTCTTGAGATGGTCAGCCGCAGTGGAGGAGAGTTTTGCGTGTCCACGGTGGGCCCCCGAGCTTGCCGCTGCCGGATGCGGGAGGAGACAGGAACCTGCAAGCTCTTTGCAGACTTTTGGCATGTGAGTGGGTGCGGCTCCAAATTCTAGGCGAGATGAGAACCGAGCGCTGCCGTGCACCTCTGTGTCTCTCTCCTGTGAGTTGCGCATCTCCAGAGAGCGCCCACTGCTCAGGTTTCCAGGCAACTTGCACAGTGGCGAGGAGGCTGCTTGTCTCTCTCGGCAGCTCCACTGTGAGTGGGAGTCTCCTGACGACTTCTCCTCGCTTCTCTTCTCGAGGAGGGGGCAGCGCAGGAAGATGCGCAGTGCCCAGCTGGGGAAGGAGCTGTGAAAGGAGGGGGCTGTGGCCAGGAGAGGGAGCCCCCCTGTCTTGTGGCACCCCCACACAAGGCTCGTGAAAAGGGGTGGAGGAGGGTTTCCCACGAACTCGCCCCCCTCACAGGAGAGTGCAAAGGGGGTGACAGCAGCAGGCGTTCACACGGTGATTGCCAGCCCGGTGAAAAGCCTGTGGCTACACGCTCCTTCCAGGCTGCCTCGGCCGCGCCCGTTCACAGGTGCAGCGGCCCTCCTGAAGGTCCATGCAGGCGACGGCGCTGCAGTGAGCCAACCTGGCTGGCAGGTTGCGCCAAGAGTGGGACGGGCGCGGGGCCCCTAAAAAGCGGGGTGGGGCAGGAGGAGCTGGCTGGCTTTCGTTTTTGTCTCACCCTGCGACTGCCCCAGTAGTCACAGCCCAACTCCCCTTGTCCGAAGGAGAAGGGGGCTCCTGCAGGAAGCATCCGTTCCGGACTCTGCGGCTGGCTCGGCGATTTCCGTGGGGATGGAGAATGCTGAGGAGGCAGCAAGTGCCCCGGGGCGTCCTTCGCGTCAGGTGTGGCGCCGCCGGGGTCTGGCAGCACAGAGGACACAGACCCAGCCTGGCGGAGGGGCCGGCGCTGTGTCCCTCCCAGGGTGCGGTGGGGTGGCCGCCCCATGGCCAGGGGCTTGCCTCCTAGGTGGCAATACATACAGTGGCGCCTCAGCTCATGACCAAATTGGGTCGCGGACAGAAATTTCATGAAAATTTTACTTGGGTCATGCACTGCACATTGGGTGGCGACCAGGATCGCGGCCATCTCCCCCCCCCCCCGCCTGAGTGGGGAGACGGCCACGGTCACCCGCAGTCGCGCCCGTGCAGGGAAGGCGTGCGTGATCCCGGGCGCGCTCCTGCAGGGAAGGCGGGCACGATCTCGGCCGTCTGCCTCCTCATCCAGCCCCATTGCGGCCATCTCCCCACCCTGCCAAGTGGGGAAATGGCGGCGATCCCGCCCGTCTCTCCCTCCCACAGCATGCCCTGTTCGCGCCAGTCTCTCTCTCCCCCAGTGCGCCTGCAATCATGCCCGTCTCTCCCCCCCGCGCGTGTGCTGGGATGGTGGGCGCATGCAGGGATGACGGGGGTGGTCTTGGTTGTGCTGGGGGGGTGGCGGGGAGATGGCCACGCTTGTTTTCGGGGCAGGGGGAAGAGGGAGACGGCTGCGGTCTTTGCTCTTCATCACTTGGCTTCACATTTTTCTGATTTTAAAAAAATGGTTGCAGAACAGATATAACCTCATTTACACTGAATTTCCCTTATGGGGGAATCTGACTTGGCTCCCGACCAACTTGGCTCGCAACCAGAGTCCTGGAATGGATTGAGTTTGTGAGCCGAGGCGCCACTGTGCGCTCGCCAGGCTCTACTGCTGGGAGCGGAAGGCTCGCCGCAGGGCCCGAGTGGGTGGCAATTCCCCGGCAGCCCCAGGGATGGGAAGCTGCGTGGCGAAGCGGGCTACGTCTCATGGCCTGTGCATGGGTCCGTGGTCGCTGCTGGGCGTGTGGCCTCCTCCAGGCCCCACTGGAGGGGCACCTCTTGGCCGGGCCGCAGGCGGCACCCAGGCCTCCGGCCGAGCCTCGCTGTGCTTCGCAGCTGCAGCCGGACTGGGCTGGGGAGCGCAAGAGGCTCGCCGCCACACCGGGGGGATGTCCCAGGCTCATCATGGCCACGTTCTGCCACAGGTGATGGGGCCTGTCCGGGGCTCTGCTGGAGAGAGCAGACCGCGGGGGAAGCACGTGCCTGCGAGAAGGGAAGGGCACCTCGCCGTTCTGCCGTGGAACGCATCCTCCGGCCAGGCTCGGCCCCCAGCGGTCCCTGCGCGCAGCCGGGTGTCCTGGGAAGTTCCCGTGGGCCAGTGCCGGGCTGGGGCGTCTGCGGCACCGCCGATTCCTGGGCAGCTGCTTCCCAGGGCCGAGCTGGGCCGCCGCTCCACCGGCTGCCTTGCAGCCCGGATGCTGGGAGAGCAAGAAGGAGTTAAAGTGGGGGCTGCTGAACCCAGGGCGGGAGACCATTTCTGGAAACGAGTGAGCAATGTGAATTCAAGGGAACTGAGCCGCATTCAAAATGTAGGATGCTGAGCAGTCTGGTCCTCAGAAAAAGGAGGTGTGTTGCTGAGAGAAACGGAGAGGCAGGGAGGGAGGGAGGCAGGGCCGTCTGAACGCGTGGGCCGGATGGGCACTTGCCCATGGGCCCCATACGAATCTGTGTACGTTAACCCTTGGAAAATTGGAAAACTTCCAAAATGAACAGTAGTTGTCGTTGTCAAACCAGTACACTGCTTCGCCCGGGGCTCATAATGCTGTCAAGACAGCCCTGGGGGGAGGCAGTGCAAGCTTCACCCGGAAGCAACAGCGGCGCCTGGACTCCGAGGCTGCAGGCCAGCGGCTGCTTTCGGCTCTGCGCTGAGCAGCCAGGGTGCTTGGAAGGACGGGGCTTTCTTTGCAGCAGCACTGCTCGTGCGAAGGGCCTCGTGTAGGGCAGGGCAGAGGGTCAGGAAGGGGCCCACGGGCAGCAGGGTTCAGCCCGGCCATGCCCCTGGATCAGAGCCCTCCGGGAGGGCCAGGCATGTGGGGCCGGGCACTGCCTTTCTTGCCCTGCTCCAGCACACCTGGCAGCCCTTCTCTGGCCCTTCCCAGCTGGCAGGACAGCGCGATGCTGAACGCCCCCTAGCTGGCTGAGCAGGAGCCTCTGCCCATGTGAAGAGTCTAGGCTCCAACCTTTTGGCCTTTTGGTCAGCACAGTGAGTGCCAAGAGAGGCCTGCTGGCCAGGCAGCTCGTCTCTCCCCATTGCACCCTGGGGGGCCGGGGGCCGGGCCGGGCAGCAGCTTGCTTCCTTGTCCCATCTCTCCCAGAACAGGCCTGCGCTCGCGATCGGCCCCTGGCGAGCTTCACGGGCTCCTGAAGCTCGGACACCCCCGCTCTCTACCGCCTCCTCCTCCTCAGAATCTGACCAGCCCGGCCCGCAGGACACCTGCTCCCCCTCACCAGCCCCCCCCAGGCCCTCTCCTCCGGAGCCTCCTGGCTGCTGGAGCAGCACGGCCATGGGGCCCATGAGGCATCACAAGGCAGCTGGACAGCCCCAGGTTCCTGGGTGGAAATGAGCCCGAGCAGATGCCAGCTCCACCCTCGGTGGGAACGGGAGATGGGTGCCCTGGAGAGCTGCTCCACGCTCTGCTTCCTCTGCTCTCAGTGGAAGACGCCCTCTGGCCAGGTGGAAGGGCCAAGCCATCCCCGCCCGACAGCCACCCCTTCCTGGCCATTCCCCTTGCAGAGGTGCTGGGCCAGACAGAACTGGTCCAGCCGTGTGCCTTCTGACTTCTGGCGCGTCTTTTGTTTTGTTCCTCAGGGACTTTCCGAGGAATCTGTAAGCAAATCAATCATTTTCCAGAAGATGCAGACTATGAACAGGACGCGGCCGAGTATCTCCTGCGTGAGTGTCTAACTCCTGGATGGTGGCGGGAGGGCTGCCCGATTGCAGGAAGGCATTCCCAGCATTCGCATGAGGCTCCAAATCCCATTTTAAAACGAATCTTCACTGAGCATCAGGGCCATTTGATAATGCAGCGCGTCACCGCAAGCTTGCCGTATTTCCTGCATTTCTCACAGTGCACTTCACTCCCTTGGGACAGCCTGGGCAAGGCATCGCCTGCCTTCCTGCATGTTCCTAAGTCCATCCTATCTCCTGTGTTCCATACCTGCTTCCAAACTGGAAAAGGGGACGCGGTGGAAGTTTAGTCTGGGAAAATGCACCCCTTCGCTCGATCAGGCTTCCTGCGTCGAGAGGCAAAGCCGAGGTGCTGGGTACCTGGCCTGGGGGTGCAAGGGAAGCACGGGGCGGCAGGCTATTCCGTCGGCCTTGGGGACTGGCCTCACCTCGCTGCATTCTTTGGCTCACCGCTCCGCTCTCCCTCCAGGCGCAGTGAGAGCATCCAGCATCTTCCCCATCCTGAGCGTGAGCCTCCTGTTCTTCGGAGGGCTCTGTGTGGCAGCCAGCGAGTTTTACAAGAGCAAACTCAACGTCATCCTGAGCGCAGGGATCTTCTTTGTATCGGCAGGTGAGTCCCTGGACTGAAGGCCGCTAACACGGTTTGGAGGAAGCTCGAAATCAGCTTCTCACCACTTCCCCGGTCTCCAGCTACGCCAGAAAGGGGAGATGGCGGCTCCCCTCGCTCCATGGCTCCTCGCCAGAGCACTCGCTGAACCACCTCTGCCACCCCAGGAAGGAGCTGTGTGGGGTGCAGGGAACGGCAAGCATCAGCGCTGCTGGTGCTGGCCCTCTGCTGGCCCCCCTCTCGTTTGGGTTTTGTTTCTTGTGTAAACTGGCAGGAGTATTTGTGCTTTTGCGGGGCACGGGGAAGCTAATAGAGGAGAACCTGGTGCACCTGCAGTAATGGAGCAGCGACCACAAGGGGACAAATTCCACTTCTCTTTGCTTCTCGGCTCTTTAATTTCCCCTCTGTTTGTTTATTGGTGATGCTGCCACCTAGGCAAGGTTATGGAGGGTGCCAGGGCTTTCCCCGCTCCTGCCAAGGGTCCAATCCTGGCACCTCTGATGAAATCGTTCTTCTACGGTCAGATGACAACCCCTCAGCATGCAATTAAGCTATAGGGCAAACTGTGGATTGTCAGAAGGGGCTTGTTCACAAAAGAATAAGCCACCTGTCAGAAAGAGGCCCAGGTTTGCCAACTCATCATAGGTGGCTTGGCATGTTGTACAAACCCAGTCCAATTTGGGCCGTTCACGATGGAAATCCACCATGACGGTTTTTCTCATCATGATTATGCTCTTGTTTTTTAACTAGTCTGACTTTCTGGCTTTTTATTTACAGCTTGTTCCCCTGTTGTTTGTTTCTGATGTTGGTATGTTACATTATCTTTGTTGTTAACTGCCTTGAACATTTTAGAGGAAAGGCGAGTTTTGGAGCTGATTTATGTGAGCATCCTACTCCTTGGTATCAGAGACAAGCCCCAAGGAAAGTCTTGCGTGTGCCCCCCCACCCTGAGATTCTCAAGCCAAGAAAGTCCCCACCCCCCAAGCTGCATGTTTCACAGCTTTCCTTGGCTTTAAGCCTAAATCTGGGGCAGGCAATGGATCAGTGCCACCGTCCAGAAGAGGTTCACTGTGCAACGACTCCCCCGGAGGCAACGGGACAGAAGGTGGCTGTTACTGCTCTCTTGCATGGGAAGATGGCAGGTGGCGGAGGGATGGATCCGCCAGTCCACCCCAGGAGTTGCTTGGGATTCCAGACACTCAGCTAGGCTGGATCAGCCCAGCTTCTGCAGTGCTTGGGCTGCTCCCCCTCCACCAGCTCTTTGCCTGATTTACATGGAGGTGGTAGGCACCAAAGGGGCTCCTGAGCAGGCTCTCCGTGGGGTGCAGGGCTTCGTGGGAGCATCAGGTGCCACCCAGAAGCATGGGAATTGCATGGCCGTGATGCCTACCATCCCCTGTGATTGCCATTCGCACACGCCCAGCAGAGTTGTGGTCACTTTTACAGGGGCTCACAGACCCACACCTGGCCACCCAGGCACTAGCGTGGGGATGGGAGAATATCTGGGCCTAATTCTGCGTGCGTGCAGAAGTGGGGCAGGGAAATGGCACAGCCACCCTCTTCCAGCCCTGGCCCCTCACTGCTGCTGACTCCATGCATGCAGCTGGATTGGGCCCAGTGGGTAAACCAAGCAGGTCTGGCACACCACCCTCTGGACACACCGGAGGTCCGTGGGCAGGCCATGAACCATGCACACACTCATGCGCCCGCCAGCCCCGCTGTGAAAACATGCACGGTTTCCTGGTCACATCAGGGACTGCAGAATGCCTCCCCACAGGTGCTGCTCTGGACAGGCCGCGGGGATGGCCTCTGCACATCGCAGAGCCCCCCGCAGCCCTCCCGGCTCGAGGGGCACCTGGGCCAAGCGCCCCGCCTTCAGCCCTGCTCTGCTCCCTCCCTGCAGGGCTGAGCAACATCATTGGGATCATAGTGTACATCTCTGCGAATGCCGGGGAGCCTGGGCAGAGCGACTCCAAGAAGAGCTACTCCTACGGCTGGTCCTTCTACTTCGGGGCCTTGTCCTTCATCCTCGCCGAGATGGTGGGGGTCGTCGCGGTCCACATATACATCGAGAAGCACCGGCAGATCCGAGCCAAGTCTCACTCGGTGGCGCTGCTGAAGAAGTCCACATTTGCCCGCTTGCCTACCTACCGGTACCGCTTCCGGAGAAGATCCAGCTCCCGCTCCACAGAGCCAAGGTCCAGAGATCTCTCTCCCATCGGCAAAGGCTTCAACACCATTCCGTCAACAGACATCTCCATGTTCACCCTCTCCAGGGATCCTTCCAAGGTGACTATTGGGACCCTGCTGAACTCAGAGAGAGATCACGGGTTTTTACAGATCCACAACTCCCTCCCAAAAGAATTCAAGGATTCTTTGCACAACAATCCAGCCAACAGACGAACCACGCCAGTTTGAGGCCAGCCATGCCCATGGTGGGCCGAGAGTCCTGGCAGTCAGCGCTGTCCTCCTGGGCGCCGTGTACAGAGGTGTATTGTTGAGACTGCATGACATGACCCAGTCCCCCTGTGATGGTGTCACCAGTGAAACTTTGTTTTCCAAAAGGAAGCCGAGATGGCCCCTGCCCTCGGGGGTGGCCTAGGTTGGATTTTTTGTTTTGTTATGTTTTGTTCTGGAACCTGCATTACCTGTCGCTAGGCTAAGCTGCTGTGACTCGGGGCAGGCGGTGCCGGGGTCTCTCTGACCAAGGACGGACATGGCACTTTGCCGCACACACAGTGAAAGGTGCTTCCAGAGGACTGCCCCATGGCGATTGACTGGAGGCCTTATCAGGAAGGTGGGAAGAGGGACAAATGCTGTGCCCCCTGGCTCTCTCTCCTCCACAGAACCACCGTTCATGGGCAGGATCAGCCCAGAAGTAGCTTTTGTGGGAAATCTGCAAGCACAACACCCTGGAGCTCGTTGGAAGACCGGCAACGCCCTCCTTCTGCACCAGACCGTGCTGGGCTCGGGGCGGGGCTCGCAGCGGTCGCGGGCGTGCGCCAGGCGGCCCCAGGACTGGAAAAGGTGGCCGCGGCGGTTTTGATGGGTTTCTGGCACTTTCAACACTCACGCCGAGGACGAGGGGCGGAACCGTGCTCCTCCACGCCTGCTGCGGCGCCGGCAGTAGCCGCTGCCTGCAGGTCAACTCTGAATGTTCCAGGTTGGATGGAGGCTCTGTACAGGACCAGCACATGAAGGGACAGGTGCTGGGAAGGCACAAGTGAGATCAGTGGCTCGGCTTGCACCCGGCCTTCCCAGGCGCAGCGCCGGCACGCAGCCCGGGCCATCGAGTGATACCCGGAGCACTCGGAAGGCTAAAGGAGAGCGGCTGTACCAATAAAACACATTCAGAACAGCCGCCATGGCTGCGTGGCCTTTGTTGCACAGGGAAGGCCCTGGGTGCGGAAGGGGCGGGCGTGCCGGCAGGAGGGGGCGCCATGCAAGGGGTCGTGGTGGCCCTCTCCAGAATCCAGCCCTCCTCCCTGTGCCGGACTCCTCGTGCTCAGCCCTCTCTTAGGCAGGCCGCCACATGGAAAGGGAGCCCGCGAACACCCGCAGAGCTCGGGCGGCAGGGCAGGCACCCTCACCTGCGGCACACGCAGCGCGTGCCAAGGCCGCACGCCTCATGGGAGCAAGACGGGGCTCTGGGGAGCCCAGCCCAGGGGCTCCGGTGGGTTCCCACCTCCGAGAGGGATTCCTCACACCTCCTGGGGTTGCCACGTTGCCAGGGGTGGGGAATTCCTTTGCCATCGGTCGATGATGAGAAAGAGCCATGAGACCATCGAAAGGGATGTTGGGGGCCAGTTACCACACACAGCTTCTCAGAACCCCCTTTGGCTGACAGAGTTCCCAGCCCGGGAATGGTCTGAGAAAGTAAGAACCTAAGAACACCCCTGCTGGGTCAGGCCCAGGTCTAGCCAGTCCGGCGCCGAACCTGCTGCCGACAGGCTCCCTCCGGCAGGATGGGTGAACAACCTGCGCCCGCTCAAGCTCCCCGGCAACTGGCGCAACAGAGCTCCAGCTGTGCTTTGGTGATCCATTTCTGGTTGTGCATCTGGAGCGCACGCATCGCCTGTGCCTTGGCCCAAGGCAGGCTTTCTGGGCAGCTCACACGTAAATATTCCGCGGAATGAAGGCAAAATACAACATCAAGGCACTCGTGGGCTCCCCATGGCACGGCAAACGGCCCTGCATGCTTTTTGCAGTGCAAGGACTTTTGCCCAGACGGACTGGTCAGGTGGTCTTAGGGTTGCCACGGCGATGCAGGTTCCACATGTCCCCTGCATCATGCCAGCCTCACCTCGCCTCCGGGCTGCCCCCGTGAGTGAAGTCCCCCGCTTGCCCCAGTGCTTCCCTATGTACTGGCCCACCGCAGACCTGGGGTGGGTTCCCCCTTCCCCCTCGGTGGCACTTCCCAGCCACCCCAGCCCCAGCACAGAGTTTTATGAAAGAAAAAGAACAGGCTTGGCTGTGGGTCTTTCTTTTCCCTCCATGCATTTCCATGCTGTCCTCCTGTTTCCAAAGCAAATGGACCCATCTCTCAGGCAATGAGACTAAAGCAAGAACGATGTGTTTGTCGCTAGGGAACTGACAGCCATAGAGCTTGACGGCTAGAAGTGGCCACTTCTGCAGCCACTCTTACCAAGGTGCTCGCTGGCATTTCCCTACCAACCAAGGTTAAACGGCAATCCCAAGTCTGAATGACCAGAGAAGCCACCATGGAGTGTGAAACCTGCGAACAGGCAATGGATTCCCTCTGTGCCTTCAGAAAACTAATTCACCGTGGAGTAACTCTGGGATGGGGTTCGGACAACATAGCAAACCCACCATCGTAAGATTTCACCACGGCTTCTAGTGTGGTGTGAACCCACCCAGTAAATTGGAGAAGCAAAAGGATTGTTTCAACCTACTAAACACAGAAACATAGAAACAGAGCGAGTCAGAAGGGGCCTCCTGGGCCATCTGATCTGACCCCCGGCTCTAACCGGCTCCGCTCACGACAGGCCCACCATGCGCATGCCCAGCCTATCCTTACATATAAATGTAATTTTGCAGTGCCTCAACACATGAAAAGGTTTTCCCCTGGCATCGGAAGAGTAAAACCAGGATGCAGGCATAGCTCCCATTTGTGATTCCAAAGTTGGGTGGCCACCACAGAAAAGTCCCTGTCTTTCATGGAATTTGAAGAAGGGCTTCCACCAATGATGCCAGGCCACTAACAGACTGACAGGGGGGAAGAGCTCCTTCAGACACTGGGCCCCAAGCTGCTGCAGGCTTTAAAGGTAAGCAGCAGCACCTGGAATTGCATCTCATGGTAGAGAAGTTCTCTGCAGGTTCTCAAGCTGAGCGCCTACCCAAGGCAGCACATTCACAACGGGACGGTGCTGGTGCTTGGTCTAGGCCCAGAGCAGTTTTCGGAAGAAGCAGGCTCAGGACTGCCTCCCCCGCCCCCTCCGGGGGAAGCCTGAGTGGTTTTCTTGGGGGCATCTCGAGAGCCAGGGTGGTGTGGTGGTGAAGAGCACGGGACTGGGACTCAGGCGATCCGGGTTCGAGTCCCCGCTCGGCCATGGAGCCCACTGGGTGGCTTTGGGCCAGTCACAGACTCTCAGCCCGACCTACCTCACAGGGTTGTTGTTGTGGGGATAAGCTGGAGGAGGAGAGATGATGTAAGCTGCCTTGAACCCTTTGTAGGAAAAAGGCAGGATATAAATCAAAAAATAAATAATAATAAATAATATCTCAGAAAAGCCTGAGGAGCACAGTGACAGACCTTAGTGTGCCCACCCGGTGGCTGAGCAGGAATTCTATTTTGCGTATGCATTCATGTGTTTTGCAAATCACCCCAAGAGCCTTGTATGGCTACGTGGCAGGCTAGAAGTTTAATTTAATAGCAGTGACTCAGATCGCCTCACTGGGGCACTGGGCACTGAGTGTCTGGGCCATCAGGGCGAGGGAAGCCCACAGCCCAGCATGGGGCTCCTTGCCAAACCTTCGCGCGCAGGGCTGGGAAAGGGCCCTCTCCTGCCCGAGCCGAGCCATGGGCAGCCGCTCCGTTGCCTCCCTCGCTGCTCCCTCGGCGTGCCTCGCTCCAGGCCCCTCTTCCTGGCCTGGCTTGCTGAAGCCCTCCAGATCCCCCGCTGCCCCTTGTCTGCCACAGCCCCGTCTCGAGGCCTCCCGCCCGCGGCTCCTGAGGCAGCCCCACCGAAGGGGCCTGCGCTGCTTGGCAAGGGAAAGGCATTCTGTCGCTCCCCCACAGCGGTTGCGCTCGGATCAGAGATCAGCAAGCCGAAAGGACGGGAGCGCAGCGCAAAGGCCGAGGCAGCCGGAGCCCATGAGCCGCTTCAGGGCCCCAGACACCCCCAGCACGGCTGATCTCCAGCGGGATTCGGCGGCGGTCGCTCTCGGGTGGAGGCAGTGCTCAGCAACTGTTGAATGCGGTGAGACTGCCCATCTTCGGTCACGGTATTCTTCGAAAACGTGCTGAAGAAGAGCCTGAGAACTACAGGCGACTGCAGGAAGGCGCAGTATTCAAGAGCAGTCAAGAGCACCCACTGGAAGCCCTCAGTGCCCTTGAGAAATATTCCAAATGCAAGGCTTATCAATATTAGATGCAGCATTTTTGCTTCAGGCAGGCTTGTGTTCCTGACACTGAAGCAGAAAATAGGCTAGCTGGGCTGCCTTCCCTTGTACAGTCAGTGGGAAGGGCTGGGGGAGAGGGGGCTTTTTAGAGCGGCCAGAATGAGAAGTGGAGCAGTTTGAGAGTGACACACACATCCCGAAGAAATGGGCCTGTGCCCTTTCTGAACTCCCGCTCTGCGCTATTATGCAACAAAGCTTCTCCGAGCGTTTGGCTGTTCCTTGCCCAGTCCGGATTGAACGCTGTGCAGTTGCAACTGGGAGCTACCCGGGGAGGAAGATCCTGGTCCTGCCGTTCGGGGGCTGGTTCTGTCCCGATGTTGGGAAGAAATGCACCGCACCCGCGGGGCCATGGGGGTGGCAGGCCGGGAAGGCCGGGCTTCTCGGCCAGGGAGGGACCGGATGCCTTGCAGGGCACTGTGGTGCCGCCAGTGGCGGGGCAGACCCCTCCGCTCTTCACCGGAGCCCCCAGAGGGGTCTCTCCGCATGCACGGCGTGGCCCTTTGGGCAGCTTTACGAGGCGGCGAGTGGCGGGAGGGCAGCCTGCGGCCCATGGCTGGAGGAGGTCCACGAGCTGAGCAGGCTGGGGCTGAGGGCGTCCAGGGGTGGAAGCCCTCCTCACTCGGCTTTGCCTGCCAAAATCCAGGGTTCCCTGACCAGTTCTTAGAATGCAATCTGCTGCCAGTACGGGATGCTGTCCTGGTATTGGGAGTGCAGTGCCAGAACCGGGAAGCAGAGGGCCAGGGAGCTTGTTCCCCGTGCCCAGTGAGCTGCTGACA